AAACAAAACACAAGCAAAAAAAAACAAAAAAAACATTTGGTATAAACTGTAAAAGCTACTTTTAATATCTCCCTCGAAAAAACTGTTGCCAACAGCCGTGAATAAAAGGTTAAATTGGGTTAAAGAGAGAAGTGCCTAAAATAGGGCTAAATAGGAAAACAAAAGCTAAGACTAACATATATATACATACATATATACATATATATGTTATATGAGTTATATACCAACTACATTGGAATAAGAATATATAGGCATGATTAGATTGACTGTGAGACTGACACTGAATGATTGATTGACAGATGGACTGGCTGGCTAGTGATTCATTGACTGATTGATTGAATGCCTGATGTACATTTAAATTTGATCGAATTGCTAAATAGATTGAATGATTAATAGACTAACTAAGACTTGATTGACGAACTCTCTGATTGAGTGACTGCCTGAAGAAAAACTTGTTGATTAATCTACAGAATGAATGATTGACAGACTAAATAAGTGATTGATTGACTGATGCTTGGCCAACACATTCGCTGTCTGGCTGATTGATTCATAATCAACATACAGCTCAAGTCCTCATAGATAAGAAACCCATAAAGCGTATGCCATAAAAAATCTATAAAAAATATATTATTAAGATTTAAGTATCTAATAAAAAGTTGTATATGGAATGATACTGCATGTCTTTTTAAAGAAATTTAACTTTAACTTTTGATATTTTGATTCTTATGCAGAGCCAATGCAAGAACTGAAATCATAATCAAATTTCATGCTCAACTCTAGATCATACTCCATATGAGAGCATAATAAAATTTCATGCTCAGCTAGATCTTACTCCATACATAAGCTCAAGTAATCACGACTCTCGAGTTCGAACAGCATAGTTTGGGCAGCACTGGCAGTTTGACAAGCACCCCATTGATTTATTTGCCAGCGTGCCTGATTTATGTAACTTTGATTTGATGTATTTATGTGGAATACATTTTCAAATGAAATCGGCATGCGATATATACATATATGTATATATATATATCTAAGAGTTATGCATATATCGTCTATAATATTTATCATTTCATGGCTCAGCGCAGAGGCAAGAATCAGTCGATTGCAACGTGTTTATGTCACAGGCTCCCAGCACATAAATCAAGTCCAATACAAGTGTGGGTGGAATTCTGTTTTTCTTGTCGTATTTCTTTATTTTTTCATTCCTTTTTTTTTTTTTTTTGGCTTAGCTTTTGTCACCAACTCTCAGCCCAGAAGTTGAGTCTAGGGCGTCGACTGGCACTTTGCACGTGCGTGGCGCATATATGTATGTATGTATATATATGCAGATATATACAGATATATATGTGTGTATATCAACTGCATATATCAATCACTTGAACTGGCTTGCAACTCTTTTTACGCTTCGCCAGAGTCATGTGCCACACTTTCCAGCAACAACAACAACAAGAACAACAACAATAGCTAGAAATGTGCGGTGCATAAGTGATGAAAGCCCAAAATGAGTTTGACAAGCGCTGGCTGTCAAACTGTGCGCACAGATGGCTTCCTGTGCGCTTTGTTTTGCACACACGCACACACACACACACACACACACATATATATACGCCAGGGCTGCCTTACCCTTTAGCATCTGGCATCTGCCTCTGTCTCTATTAGACTTTGTTTTCATTTTATGCCAGGCAAAAGATTTCAACGCCCCCGCAGCAGCAGCAGCGGCGGCAGCGGCAGCAGCAGAGGCAGCGGCGGCAGCAGCAAATGCAAAATGCACATTTTTAATGATGGGGGCCCTGCACTTGAGCCAACGGCAACAATAACAACGACAACAGCAGCACAAACAACGTTGTTGACGTTGGCGTCTCGCACAGGATGTGCCTCAGAGTTGTGGGCAATTGGGGAACGGGGAGCAGGAATTGGGGGATTGGTGCTTGCTGCTTGCTGCTTGGGGGCTGGGCCATCAGCCGTCAGGGTCTGCCTGCCCTTCGACTTATGCAAAACGTCTCCACACTTTGTTTTTATGGCCTGTTCAATGCAGTCGCCGGCAGCTCAACTCAAGGGATTCCGTCTTGTCTGATGGGCACCGTCTCCTCTGCTTCTACCCCACTAACCTCGAAAGTTGCCACATTTGGCCTTAAAGTTTTGCGTTTGTGTAACACTTTTCTCTCACCATCTCTCTCTCTCTCTCACACACTCGCATACTCTCTGTCTCTCTTTCAGCAGCTCTGTCTCTATTCGTAATCCGCTTAAGTTCTCAAGAATCGGCACAACGTCATAATGAGCACAGCGCGATCATCATAATTGTCGAACGTTGTGCTTTGGTATTAGTTCGTGCTTTCGTTATGCTTTCGCTCCGCTTCTTCCTCTTGATCCCCATTCATTAGATTTTCGTTTTTCCGGTTGTGCTCTTAATACTCGAGTGGCAGCTTCTTCCCTCATATCTCTGCGCATCTCTCGCCACTCCACTCTAGCTAGCTATGCGAGTTTAATTAGACCAAAGAGGCAGACACTACACATCTTCAACATCTTCAAATCTCATCAAATTAGACGCCGCAACGTAACTTGACACATACTTTCCCTCCACCTCCCCCTCCCCCTCCCGCCCACATGAAGCAATTAAGCAAACGCTTCCCTTTGCCACTAGCCACTCCTGTATTTTGCTCCGATGACTCATTCCGCCCCAAATCGCTAGCCAATAATTCCAAGTCCAGACAGGCGTCTGTCCGATTGTCGCAACTGTTTAGCCAATCTATAAAGCAAATGAAGCCAGCTAAGCGTGTGACAAAGGCAGCTCAATCGGAACCCTCCCTTCAGCTGGTCCAACTAACCCCTGGCCCCCGTGACCCAAGCTCCTCTCGAGTTACCACAATATTAATTTATATGTATGTATTTATTTAGTATATATATATATATGTTTTCCGCTGCTATTGCCACATTTAATGTTGAGCGTCGTGCAACATTTGCATAATCCATTCACACGCTGCTCTATTAAATGTGGTTGAATGCATTCATTTCAATCATTTAACATTCAGCAGTCAACACTCAACACTCAACCGTATTCGAGATGACAATGCACTCATTAGTGGTCGGCAAATGCAGCAAATGCAGCAGTTGTAAACTGCATTTAAATTGCACTTACAAAATAAACATTGCATAAAATGCCGTGTGGAAATGTGCACCAAATCGTCGTCGACGTTGACCTCGAATGAGACGGACGCATTCAGGGCCCGGCAATAAAACCTCAATCTCACAATCTCTTAATGCGCCCTATGCTCAGCATCCGACGACTGAAGCCACTGAGCTAATAGATTCGTGTTGACTTGTGTAATAAACAGAATATTATTTGATAGAGAATGTTGTTTTCCTCTTGATATCAAAAATATGACATTTTGTGGTTTATTGCTCTATTAAGAGTTGCTATAACTTAATAACTTTTACTGGATGGAAATGGCTTAGTTTATGGAAGTTAACTTCTATTTACTATTGAGATGTTTTAAAGATTTCGAATTTATTGAACGTATAAAGAATAGCGGCTGGTTTGATATACGATGTGATATATACATTTGATATATGGCTAGAAAGTTTTACCTAGTTTCCCAAACTAAACTAGGAAACTAAAGCTGTAATACTATATAAAAGCAGGAATTTTTCCGCTTAGCTTAACGTATTTTATGCTCGTATAGCCTGTCTTATGTAAAGAAAAATCGAGAAATCGAACATGTCAGCTCTGCTGATAAGGATTTCCCTCGTTCGTATCTTGTAGACTTTTCCTTTGTGCAGCTAATCAAAATTCGTATAGTCAAATGAATTTTTAAAGACTTTCTTTCAATTTTATTTTTTTGATTTATTGATCTCTCCTGAGGGGATCAAAAACTTTCCTTGATATGTTTCATTTTATATCTTTTGTATACAGGATATAGAAGATCCTTGGATAGAGAAGAACCCTCAAGGACTTCCTTTTACTCTAGATAACTATTTCCTTCCCACATACTCGGCCAATCTATTTATTTTACATAAATATTTCGGATAAGACTGTAGGGAACTATTATAATAATAACAACAACAACATGTTTAACTTGTTTAAGCCTTGCCTGGTCTCCCTCACATAACTGGAAGACAATAACCTTCAGGCTTGCCCTCTCAAGGCGCAGTCCAACTCGAGCCATTCTCAATTCATTTATCCCTAATGACTCGGTCAATCGCGCAATCTGTGAGCACTTTATTGCACAGCAGTTGCATTTGGCAGCCGGCAGACTCTTAAATCAAGGCACGAACTATCGATGAACCCGAAAAGACCTAGCACACATGCACAGACGAGCTCGAACGCTATGCGGCCCGCCCTACCCCTAGATGTAAACCCGTTACGTGCCACATTTGGCTGCAAGCCAGATATTGAAAGAAATTGCAGCTGGCCAAACAGACAGAAATAAAAGAAGTTTTTAATATGTGAGCACATAGCTAGAGAGGGAGGGGGTAGAGGGGTTTAGGGGTAGGGGTAGGGGCGTCTTTTAGGGTTTGGCTTTGGCTAGACAAAAGCGCGCAGAGCTCTGGCGCCGTTGGCACAAGGATGTTCATGTCAAATCAAAACGTTGGCTTAATAGTATCCAAAATTTAACGGGTCTCATTCGCTGAACCGCAAACAAAGGCCGCCCACACAGGAGTCGGCCGGCAACGCGTCTCGCGTATTTGTTTAGAGCCAACAAATTGGCAGGCAAGGCCTGGCCTGGTCGGGTCTGTGCCCTGCCATTAACCAGCTTCAGCTTCAGCTTGGCTCTGGGGGCTGGGGGCATTTGCATAGACGTCGACGATAATTGCATGAAATTATAATGCAGCCCATGTGTAGCCTGTCGCTCGTAGGAGTCGATGCCCACACACACACACACACACACACACAGAGAGATGCTGTGTGTGTATACCCTGTAATTATAGAGAGTGATTGAAACTCAGCACTAACCTACTCTCTCTCTCTCTCTCTCTCTCTCTCTTTCTCTCCCTCTGTGCAGCATCATCGTGGCAGCAATGCAAGCGAGGAGCGCGTGCCACAGCCACACTCACCACACGATGGCGGCCACATGAGCGGCGGACTGCAGCATTCGGGCTCGCGGGCCACGTTGCGTCATTCAATGAATCACTCCAGCAGCTCAATGACGGGCGGCTCCGCCTCCAGTTCGACGCCCGCCTCGCCGCAGCTGAGCGGCGGCCAGCTGCTGTCGAACGGACACCATTATCAGTCACAGTCGTCGGTATCGTCGAACTCATCGATTGTGTCGGCCATACCCGCCTCGCAGCGCCTGCTCGAGGAGGCGCTGGCCAAGCCGGCGCCCTATCCGATGATCCTGCTGCCGGTGCATGGCGGCTACTGGCTGGACGGCACTGAGCACGAGTGCAGCTACGATGCACGGGGCAATCCGCAGCTGCCGCAGACCACCTGGATGGCCAAGTTCGAGATGGACGATACGGCCAAGTGCTATCGGCGCTTCTATGCGGCCAGGGAGCACTCGAATCTGGTTGGGCATGATGAGCAGCTCGGCCCGGTGCTGATCTCGATCAAAACGGAGAACGTGGCCAATCAGGAGCATATGCGCATCCTGCTGCGCCTGCGCACCGGCACCATGCACGAGCTGATACCGGTCTCGTGCCTGGGCGCCCAGCCCAGTCCGGCGAAGATGGTGCGGCTGCTGAACGAACAGATCCAGGTGGATAACTTTATGCCGGTGTTGTGCCCGAAGGCATCGCAGCTGATCAGCGTCTATGATGAGCATGTGCTTGTCTCGCACTTCAAGTTCGGCGTGCTCTACCAAAGATATGGCCAGACCACCGAGGAGGAGCTCTTCGGCAACCAGCAGACCTCGCCGGCCTTCGAGGAGTTCCTCGATGTGATTGGCCAGCGCATCAGGCTCAAGGACCACAAGGGCTATCGCGGCGGCCTGGACATCCAGAACGGGCACACCGGCGACACGGCCGTCTATGAGGTGTTCAAGGAGCGCGAGGTCATGTTCCATGTGTCCACGCTGCTGCCCCACACCGAGGGTGATCCGCAGCAGCTGCAGCGCAAGCGGCACATCGGCAACGACATCGTGGCCATCGTGTTCCAGGAGACGAACACACCCTTCTCCCCGGACATGATCGCCAGCCACTTTCTGCACGCGTTCATTGTGGTGCAGCCCCTGGAGCCGAACACGCCGCACACCCGCTACAAGGTGAGCGTGACGGCCCGGGACGATGTGCCCTTCTTTGGGCCGACGCTGCCCAATCCGGCGGTCTTTCGCAAGGGCCAGGAATTCAAGGAGTTCCTGCTGACCAAGCTGATCAATGCCGAGAACGCCTGCTACAAGGCCGAGAAGTTTGCCAAGCTTGAGCTGCGCACCCGCACCTCGCTGCTGCAGAATCTAGTGGAGGAGCTGAAGGAGAAGACGCGCGACTTTCTCGGCGCCGATCTGTCGCAGACCCTGGCCGGCAGTCCGACACCCGAGACGCCCAAGTCGGAGAGCGGAGGSGGCGGCGGCGGCAATGCGGGCACTCGTTTCATTGACACCGTCAAGAAGGCCCTGATCATGCGCGTGCGCTCCCAGAGCGTGGACACCGGCAACGGGGCGCATCCGGACAAGTTCAGCGTGAACACCAAGGTGGGCACGCTCAACTCCAAGAAGGAGCCACAGCCCGAGACACAAACGCCCAATCTAAACGTGAGTAGAGATTCGCTTAGCTCTAGTCGATGCAATTAGCTAATCCCATTCTCTTTCTTTTGTCGCCCTGCAGACCTGCAGTCGCACGGCCTCCAAGTCGTCCTCCAAGTCGAAATCCTCGAATGAGTCCACATCCTCCTCGCCGGACATCACCTCACGTCCGGCTAACCACAACCACAACAACAACAACAACAACAATCCAGCTGGCGGCCAGCAAAATGGCGGCGGTGGCATTGCCGCCGTCGCCGTCAGCGCTGCCCAAAACGGTGGCATAGTGGGCGTGGCCGTGGCCACCATGTCCGAGGCGAGCGACGACTCCAGCCTGAACAGCGTCGATCTGGACCCGATGATGGGCCACCTGGACGGCGGTGCCGCCTACATCGACAGCGACACGGGCCTGGAGAGCATGAGCTCCGCGGAGGCAACGACCAAGGCCTGCTCGCTGTGCCTCGAGGGGGTGCAGGGCACCACCATGATGGGCAGCTCGCCCAGCAACGAGACCATCATGATGATCGAGAATCTGCGCCAGGAGGTGACGCGGCTCAAGTGCGACAAGCTCGATTTGCTGCGACAGAATGTGGTAAGTAGAGAGAGAGAGAGAGAGAGTGAGTGAGAGAGAGAGCAGATATAGAACAATTAACTCATTTAAATATTCCCTCTCTTTCTTGCAGACCTGCCAAAGGGACATCAAACGTTTGCGGGAGCGAGAGCTATCGCTGCAAGGCGATCTGGCGGCAGCCGGACGTGAGATTCTGCGTCTGCGCGATCTGCTCAAGGAATATATGCCAGATACAGCCGCAGCGCCGCTCTCCATTTCGCCCATCTAAAGCGTCTAACGCCAAGCACAAAACAGGGAGGGACGGAGACAGAGACAGAGAGAGAGAGAGAGAGGGAGTGGGAGAGGGAGATGGGAAGGAAGAGATCGGAGGAACCACTGTGCCGTGTATAACACTTTGGATGCGTCGTTATTTGTTTTTTCTTTTTTATTTCTGGGGCCAGTTCTCGCAAAACTGTATTATATTTAGTTTGCATAGCTGTTGGAACTCGAAGAGGATTGAAAGCTGAAGTGTGGCGGCATATATATTATTACAGTTTAGTCTACAAATATACACATAACACTTACGTATAACAGTTGAAAATCATCTTAGAGAAAAGAAAAAGATAAAAACATACACACACACACAGAACTCAAAAAGTTACACCAAATATATAGTTGATAAGTCTTTAAGCATATTTAACGCAATGTTTAGAATCCCCAAGAAAACAAACAAATTTCCCACAGACGCAAAAACTAAGCCTTAAATATAAGTAGACAGAGAGAGAGAGATAGAGAGAGGGACAGGGAGAGGGAGTATAACAGAGAGCGAGAGCTTATCGATTAGCGCATAACACAGTTACAAAAAGTTTATATAGAAACGTCTTCGAGATCGAATTCGACTTCGAGTTCGAGTTCGAGTTCGAGTGCGTCATCGATTTAGTAGCAGAGTAGAGCGATCCTTGGCAACCCTGCACACTGTGGCAACCCTGTTAGCTCCGCTCGTTTCCATTCATCACGTAGACCTCAACAGCAATTATTAACCAATTAAAAGAAAGAGGAAGAACAACAAAATCGAAAGCTAATTAAATTAACGTATATATTTATTCAAATATATATAGATATATTCTATTATGTATGTGTTTTAAAGTTACAAATGCAAAACTCTCGTTAGTTTTTGTTTTTAGCTGCAATCGATAAATATTATTAAACAGAAGAACATAAGAAAAACAAAAACTCTTAACTCTTAAGTTTAAGTTGCTTTAAATAATTTCTAATTACAATTTAGTTTGATTAAGTTTTGGGCTAAGCAACGGAGGAGCTTAAGCTAAGCTAACGACGACTCAGCGGAAGGCAAGGAGAATGTTATCGAAATTATTATTATCGAAAATCATCTGTTGTTTTGCCCTTGTATATATATTATTTACATAATTCTCGATTTAACGATTTATCGATATATCTGTCGATCTAACGTAATTACTATGCAATTTAATGACTATTTAATAAACGTATTGAAAATGATAAATAATTATCGATAAACGATTTAGCCCAGAGCAAAGTGTGCAAGATTTTTCAAATATATATATAAATATATATATATTATCTGTCTATATTCGGCTAAAGAACACAAAAATACACACACACATTCACACACCCACACGCATACATATATAGCATACAATTATACATCAAATCAAAGAGTTCTTATCGAGTTTATCTAAATGTATGAATTCTACCATAAGTACCACAAATTGTTTTTTGTTGACAAAAATTCATTATTTTAATTGTGTATAATTACAAAAACAAACAACAACAAAACAAAGAAAAACCAACAAAACATACATATATAATTATATATATGCAAAATATATGGAATATATACATACAAATATATTGTGCTGTTTTTATTTACTAACAAAATAACCTTGAAGCGTTTAATTAATTTTTAGATTAATTTCGGCAAACCTCTTTTTTTCAAATCACGCGCCCTACTTTTACGCGCTAGCCAGCACTGTTTGTGCTTTCTGTTGGCAGCCACAGGGTGACCCACTTTGTAAGCTTTTTGTTATATTGCTCTTCGTCGCGCACAGCCACACTGAACTGAACTGTTTAATTATTCAGTTTTGTTTTGTTTCTCGTGCAGCAATAATTCGCCTTTAATTATTGTTTCATAAAAGTGCTAAAATATTTTTATATTCCATAATGTTATATATTATTTACTTTAGTTTGTCAGTTTGGCAACTGATCTTAAAGTTCTGTTAGCGCGCTGTTGTGGAATGTTGCTCTCCGAGCAGCTGTTGCGCTCTGCGCATGCTCTCTCTGTCGCACACATTTGCTTATTGTACCCTGTGCTGGTGATTAGAAAGAGTTGTGTGAGTTCATATACAATCAGGTGCACTTGGTCAAAGTGAATTGTGATAAACAAATATACATATTTAGTAATTAATTATATTAAGAAATTTATTTATTAAACTAAATTGAAAAATTTATATAAAACAATACAAATATCAATTAAACTTATACAATTGTATATATATATAATAAATAATAAGAAGTTAACCTTAATTAATTGCAATAATTACTGTATTAATAAAACACAATGTTTTGTGAAACCAATGCGTAAACTGATACAAAACTTTAGTGCTTCACAGAGTATGTCATATGTGTCATACTCGTATTTTTTCTCCCGCTGCTTATAATGCTTTCGGTGTTTTTTCCAACTCTCAAAACGCGAGAAACTTTTGATGTGGACGGACGTTTCGTCGCCGCCGTCGTCGTCGCGTGGAGGTTTCAGTTGCTTGAATTAGAGAATTGTTATTGTTTTCATACAGGCCTTTGGGCTGAGAAGGCGGTGCTCAGAGGGTGCATTTAATACATATAGAGTATCATTGAATAAAACACCGTTCTCTAATTTCAAAGCGAATCAATGCAAGTCGCGTGTGTGTTCGTTCGGCAAGGAAAAATAGTGCGAAAAATCTCTTGAGTGACTTTTGTTTTTGCATTTTGCAATTTGCTTTTGTTTCGTTTTGGCGGCGCTGTCGTCGGCTGCTGTGCACGTAAAACATAAAAACGATTCTCATTAAAAATAATAACAACAACAACATTAACATACCRAAAGAGTTGTACGTGTGCCAATATATGTGTATGGGAGTGTGTGTGCGCGCGGTTGAGTGTGGTAATTTTTTCGTCGTTATTACTTCATAACAGAGCGCAAAGCTGCGCTGCTTCTCTCACGCGCGCTCTCTCTCTCTCTCCTGCTCTTTCTGTCTCCGTTATACGCTCTTAAGCTGTTTGTCGCTCTCGGTAGCAGCCGGCAGGCTCAACCGAAGAGGGTTGCAGCAGCAGCAGGAGCAGGAGCAGGAGCCGCAGTTGTGACCACAACAAAAACTAAGTAGGAAAGCTTTGGCTAACCCTCTTCACTCTCAATTGCGCTTTGCCTCTGTACACCCTCTCACTCAACGGCTGAGCCACCAAAAGGTAATTAGTTGTATTTTATTTTATTAATGTGACAAATGAGCAAATAATTGTGAGTGAATGCGTCTCTATATGTGTGCATGTGTGTGTGTCAGAACATTTTTACGTGTATGCGTAAGCAAATGAATCAAAAAATTAAGAAGGCAAACAAATTATTAAATAACAAAAGCTGACAGCAGCAGCTACAACAGCAAGGCAAATAGAAGAAAGCTAGAGAGAGAACAAAATTCTCTCTTATATGTTGAGGCCGATCAGCAGCTGAGCCGAGCTTTGACTGTGCGTACGAAAGAGATGCAGGTATCACAGCTTCACATGGTATAATCGTAGCCGGCGCCTCAGCTGCTACTGTTTTAGCTGCCTCTCTCTCTCTCTCTCTCTCTCTCTCTCTCTAGCGCTTTACCGCTGTTGTTCTTTTGGTTGTTTCTGGGATAAGAACAGCAATAAAATGACAATAAACGTTAAGTATATTGAGAAGGCGCTTGTAATGGGGGTGGGTGGGCTTCCTTTACACTCGAGCAAGCAGCTGCTGTTTGGCTAGGGGGCGTGGCAGGGCTAAGGCGATACGTGCACTCGACTAATCAGCCGCCAGCTTCAAAAGCTAGCGATTAAGTCGAGTCTTATCAACGAAAGGTGCTCCGAGGGGTTGCCATGGCATATAGAGGCCCAGTATATGTATGTATGCATGAGCATATGTAGGCATATGTATGTGTGCAATGAGCACTCGAGGTGAACGAATTTTAGAGCTAGATAATAAGATGAATTGCATTTACGGTTATGTCAAAGTTGCCAATTGCATCCTTATCTAAGAGCAAACAATTACTAATTGTGTCCAATTAGAATTTTGCATTACATTAAAGCAGCAATTATAATGTGAGATCAAGATCCGATTGGTTGGCATCATCGAATAATATTTCGTCATTCGTCTATTTATAAGTCAAATCAGAGTGCATTTTAATTTGATTTAAATTTCATATATTTAAATTTGCTATGATGATTTGATACGCTATTAATAAATGGTTTTAAGTAGCATTATGTTATTTGCAATGTTAATAATTTTATAAGAAATATCAATCCAAATATATATGTTTGTTTCCTCAGAGCAGTCTTTTCAAATTATTTTAAAAATCTTTAATATTCTTCAGAAATATTCGAATAATCTCACGAATTACGTGAAATATTTAAACAATTTACAGAATTTATTAAGAAAATCGGAATTTATTTAGATTTTTCCCGAACATATGTTGGTATTCTGTACACTTAAATTACTTAAATATCTATTCGGAAATCCCAATTGCGCTTCTAATTTGAGTTTCGATCTGCTACAGTGCTGCCACTTGAAGCAGGTGCAAAGTGCCATGGATCATTTAAGAAGCATCAGGTGGCAATTAAATTGTCCGTGCGATGCGGTCGCTCGAATATCTCTTCGCTAATGTGCCATATGCCGAGTCGTGGAGTCGAATGGCGCACGCTCATTATCTTGTCTCCCGTTTGTTTTATGCGTCTGCGAGGCTGGCGTCTGTTTTGCTCCAGTCAGCCAACCCACCCAGCCATGGGCCATTGGAGCAACCACTCAACAGACGTCAACAGAGACCCAACAACAAGCAAATAATTTTTTGGGGGTCGGCCACTGCTGCCCCACACCACACAATCGTCAGACCGCCCGCCCACCTGCCATGCCAAACAACATTCCAAGTGAGGTGAGCGAGTGGTTTTGGCGGCTTTGAGTGGTTGGGTGGTGGCACCACACGCACATATCTCAGGCGTATAAAAAGGGCTCATAATTTTCAGTTTAATTACAATAAGCAAACAACTGCACCGCTTGCCCCCCACTGATGGGTAGCTGCGGCTCTTCATCTACACTAGCACCTGCCCCTACCTAGGCGACCTTTTGAGTTTTCACCTGGCTGTGCAACCTATTAATAAATCTCATTAATAAATTAAACGGTTTAACGCAGGAAATTCCCTTCTCGGAGATGCTCGCTTCCCTCACATACGCACACGCCATCTGGCGGCGCGTTTTGGCATATATTGTAGCTGATTTCTTTTAGCTTATGGGAGAGGGTACT